AAAAAAAAAAAAAAAAAAAAACCCTTCCTTTCTCTCTCCTAGAGAAAAAAGTTTGACATTTCTGGCCCATTTGCTTCACAGCCTGATTTGTTTGAAATAACACAGAGTAGGATGGTATTTTATTACTTTGAGAGAGTACAGATCTACAGTGAGATTGGTTGTTTGAATTAGCGGACCATTAAGCTCTTGTCCAATCTTTGAGAGCCTATGATTCTAATACCAAGCACTGTTCATCTCTAATGTGTATGATTTGATTTCTACACCTAAATACATAGAAATCACCGCAGAAAAGTGTAATTCCCATATCGCTGTATTTTTTGTGCCTAAAGTGACATGCCTGGAGTCAAACTATGAAAGAATTTTACGTTAGATTTTCCCAATTACAAAAATCTTTGTTACCTGTTAAGTAAATTAGCCATTATGATAATATATGGCACTTTAATATTTTACCTTTTGTAAAGTTATGTTGTGCCCAGATTACCTAGGTTATTGATTTAACTTTTCCTGCGTGTTCTTTCTTTTGTATTAACCACCTAGCTGAAATGAATTTTCTCTTCCTCTCTCTCCCTTACCCCAGTTCAGAATCATCTATACCTTCAAGCAAGAATTAACATAGAGATTGTGGCTACACAAATGACAAAAGAGAGTGAAGTTACCTGATTCAACCCTTGGGAGAACTCTCCTGCTATTGCTATTAACAGCACGCTGCTAATCTGTGCAGATTCAAGATTGTTCCAAGTGCAGTGTTCAAGTAGTACAGCCAAAAAGAGAAACTAAGGCAAATTTCCATCAAAAACTTAGAATAAATGCTTTAAAGAAAGAACAAGTTGTAAATCATGTTAGTCCGGTTAGCAGTGGAAGGATTAGACAATAAAGTAAATTAGTATGATCATTTAGTAAAAGCAACTCATCAACAGAGTTGTTCTAAATGAAAAAAAAAAAACAAAGCACTATAAGCTGAAAAGGAGTTGGGGCATGCAAGCTACTAACTAGAAAACAAAGACTTGGTATTTTCCGTGAGTTTCTCTAATAACGGCTTTGCTTGGTTTCCCTAATAATTCCAATGGAATCACGTCAGTTATTTCGGTAATTTATGGCTAGAGTTTTGCCAAGTGTTTGCTATGCAGGAGAGCAGAGAATTGGCCGAGAAAGCTGAGCCCTTCCAGTCAATACAGATTGTTCAGCTGTGTGGGCAGGGGTAAAAGTCAGAAACACTGTACTTTCATAAACGGCACATCACATCAAAAAGAAAAAGGAGAACACCTCCACTGAAAAATAGGAAAGGATACAAACTGGCAACATCACAAAGGGAAAAAACACTAACAGACAATATGAAAAAATGTTTAATCTTGCTTGTAATTAAAGAAATGCAAAAATAAGACAAAATCAGCTTGGCAGAGACGGAAAAGAGTGATAATACAGTGTGTGAGTGGGTGAGTATTGTTGGGTAAAGAGTAAGCAGATTTTCTATAGGATAACATGGCAGTATCAAACATCCTAAAAAGTGCATCAAATCCTTTGAACTATCTTACCTCTAGAAATTTATTCGAAGGAAATAATTGGATACTTTCTTCACTGTAGTCTTGTTTATAATATTCACGTTTTTATTCATTTCTGCCTCTCTGTATTTTCTGGATTTTTTCTAAAATCATTTTTCAGGGGAATTTCTTTTAAATTCTAAAATTAAATAAACCAATCAAGCTTATCCTCTACTATAATTACCCTCTTTCTTGGGTGGACTGGGACAAGGACTATCCTTTCACTGGCTAATGATGCCTTTGGGCACTTCTTGAGCAACTCAGGTCCGTGTTGCTTTTCTCCTGCTGCTGCTGCTGCTAAATTTCAAAGGAATCCTTCCTTGGGGATCATTTTCATAATGAAATGTTTCTAAAATATGTTCCAGGGCTTCAACAAAAAATTTGCTTTTTTCTTTTGTTGGTCCCAATTTTACTATCCGAGAATCATTGCAGAAAGTGCTGCGTGTGTTCACATTCCTGGCTTAGTAGCTCTCATTTGCTCTTTATGAAATCAAAGCTCACAAGTTCTGCTAAGCTGGGTAAAGGGAAGGCTCCTAGAACTGAGCAGTCTACGGAACACACAGTTTCCGTTTAAAATGAGCTAATTTTGAGCGGGCAGGGCACGTAGGTCGTAAGTGTTCCAGACGAAGCTTCCCTCCCCTGGGGGGGGGGGGCGGGGGAAGCGGAGGGATCAAAAGTCGGAAGATAAAAAGTTGTTGGGGTAACAGAGTCTCCTCGGAAGAGCGGCTGATTGGGCATCCCACAGAAAAAGCAGGTAACACTGGGTCAACTGCAAGGCTGTGGTGAGTTACAGGTTCCAACAGGTGCACTAACACAACTCTCCCGGCACTTCCTGGGAACCCTGTATTCTCAGAGTGACTACTTTTGCTTTTGCCCTGGTTCTTTAATAAATAATTCACATTCACTAAGAATGAACACAGTGTGTAAACATCCAACTTTTGAGAGAAGGCAGGGGAACCGGGCCACCTTTAATGTAACAGGAGCACCCACACGAGAACTCGAGTCCAGCTCCAAGTCATCTGTTTGCAGGGACTAGGAAGCGTGAACACCATCCTGTCAACATCTTCGCCGCGTCCTCCCGGGGCTACTTGGACAGTGCAGGGAGGCAACTGGAATTTAAACGTGGAGCCCTGCGGGGACATCAGAACTCCACGTTCATTACAGAGACAGCCACCCCACCATTATCCTAGGCAAAGCCTTAAGGCTTCCAAAGTTATTCATCTCCATTCTCTTTTTGGCAACTCGCCTGCCCTTCTGACCTCGGAAACTCGCAGACCCTAGAACTTCGGCTTTTAGCCCGCCAGTGGTGTCCTTGCTCCCTCCCACTGCCCTGGCAGCGGCCCAGCCACAACGCTGCTGGCCAGGGATTGAAATCCGCTGGATCCCACCAAAGGACACCCTGGGTGTGGCGGAACCTTGCTCCCACTGTTTCGAAAGCGGCACCCCTCTGCGATCTGCACACTTTGCGGCATGCCTGCGATAAGATCTGAGAAATGTGCCCTGGGCCACAGGCAGCCGAGGAGGCGGGCAAGGAACAACTTTCCCTCCGCCTTCTAACCGCAAGGCCCGGGTGGGGCGGCCCTGCTGGGGTCCGGCTCCTTTCTTTCCCCAGCTCCAGTCTCCGGCCGGAGCGTCCCACGACTCCCGGGGAGGGAGGGCCGGGAAAGTGTGAGGGGCTTCCTCCCCTCCCCAAGCCCCGCCAGATGTTGGAAAAGCAAACAACAGGGGAAACGCGGAGAAACAAAAGGCCATTCGCCACGATCGCAGCCGGCTCTGTCGTGCGGTCCCTGTAGAGAGGCGCGTGGGAAGGGGACAAGAATCGGACTGGAGGGGTCCCCAGGGGGTTAGGGCGTCTAGTACTTGCCAAACACCGGGGGGTCAGCCCTTTCCTCTCCCGAGACGGTCCAAAGGCGGGAAGGAGCAATCAAAGGAAAGCTGAAGGGTTTTTACCTTCTTCCCCAGAAGAGGGAAAGGGAGGGGCTGGGATCCCAGATGTTTGACAGTTGTTGGCCCAGGGGTTCAGCAGGCTCTGTACGTCCTTTACACACCCTCTCCTTCCAGGACCCATCAACAGCCCTGGGGGCGACCTGGCTGACGGTGAGGAGTTCCCCTTCTCGACCCTAAGCCGAGCCTCCTCCCTCAAGACCAAGGCGCCCAACTTTGTCGCCTTGCCCAGGGCGCACTTTTGTAAAAGTTTGTCTTCCCGCCCAACACGCACTCTTAAGTCGTCCGCGACGCGCGATGGGTTCGGGGGAAAACTTGTACCGGGAAGTAAGAAGGGTTTTACTTATTAAGCTTCTAAAATCAAGGCCCCGGAGCCCGGTGGTGGGGACTGGACCCTGGTCCCAGTTCCGGAAGGGCGCACGAGGAGCCGACCAGAGCGTAGGTGCAAGTAGGGGTCTGCGAGGGACGCCAGCCCCGGAAGCTGGCGCGGAAGAGGGGTCCGCCATCTCCCACCCCCCTGTTGCACCCGCCCCGCGGTGCTCCCGCACCTCTGCCAGCCGGGGCGCGATCCCCGCTGCGCCACCTCGTCTCTCGGCGCCCGTCCTCACTCACCGTGGAGTTCTACCTTCAGAGCCGGGGCGCTGTTGGCTCCCTGCGCCGGGTCAGCTGAAGCCGGAGCCAGAGGAAAAGGGTGACCTCGGGGACGGAGGGGCGACGCTGCGGATCCACGCGACGGGCTCCCGGGTTAGCGCACACTATTCCTGCGAGGAGACCCGCGGACGGACGGGCGCGAACTCTAACTGCAGCCTCGGTGGCTCAGAAGCCCCCACATGCACCCTGTGCGCTGCACCGCCGGACGGGGCTTGGCTGTCGCGCTGGGGTGCCGAGCGGGGACCCCTGGCGGCAGTCCGCGGAATGGCAGCTCCGTTGGAGAGAGAGGTCGTCTTCAGCGTCACCTTCCCTCCGGAAAAAGATAAGGAATA